CCTTAAAACGACACTTATTCAAACATCGTAACACATGCTTGCCTCTCAAAAACTTAGAAGAAAAAACCTAAGCCCATAATGAGGACCTCTTGCAATTCTTCAAACTTCCTCAACCCCAACCCTCCTTCATTTTTAGGCAAGGTAATATTTTTCCATGCCACCCAATGTCTCTTTCTCACATCCATTTTATTTGACCAAATAAAGCTTGCCATCATAGCATTCAATTTATGAAGAATAGTCTTGGGTAAATTATGACACGCCAGCAAATGTATGGGAACAGAACTCAATACAAACTGTACCATTAAAATTCTTCCCATATTCGACGACACTCTAGAATACCATCCTTCCATTCTACTTTGAAATTTCACTAAAATATCTTCAAAATATTTAATTCACGACCTGCCTCTAATAATAGGGCATCCCAAATATGTAAATGGACAATTCTAAATCGGAATGCCAGCCAAAACAGATAACTCCTGTCACCTACTTCCAGATATAAGTTTTGAACAATACATTGAACTTTTAACCAAACTCACCTTTTGTCCAGAACAAAGCTGATAAGACTCCAAAAACCACAACAAATTTTTCAAAGATTGCTTTTGATCCCTTAAAAACACTAGGTGTCATCAGCACAGCAAGTGACTGACCCTTGTAGTACCTCTTCCCAAATGATAATGCTTCACCAAACCCTCCTCTGCCAAGATAAACAAACAAGGGGAAATTGGGTCTCCTTGCCTCAAACCCGTGGAGGTAGGGAAAAAACCAACCCGTAAACTATTCACACAAACTGAGACTCCAAACAATTTGATATTATATTCACAAACAATTCAGAGAACCCAAAACATAACAAAGTTTTAAATAAAAAAATTCCATTCCAGTCGGTCGTAAGCTTTCATCATATCAAGCTTCAGAATTATGTTACCAGCTTCAACCTTTCTGTCCAACTCCTCAACCATCAGCTGAGCCAGAGCAACACACTCACCAACGTTCCTGCCCTTTACAAATCCATGATGCTCCTTAGACACTATAACAAGCAATACAGAAGCTAATGTCATAGCCAAAAGCTTAGTAAATACCTTGTATAGGAAGTTGCACAAACTAATCGGCCGAAAGTCAGCAAATGAAATAGGATTTGTCTTCTTGGGAATCACAACTAAAAGAGTAGCATTCACTGACCTCGGCATCTTTCCTCCCCTTAGAAAAAAATTCATAGCCTTCAACATATCATCCTTTATAATATCCCATGCCACCTGATAAAACTTCCCAGACATCCCATCAACCCCAGGTGCACTCTGAACAGACATTGAGAAAACAACAGACTTCAACTCTTCCGTAGTTGCCTTTTTCACAATCTCTCTATTCATTTCATCAGAGACTAAAGAGGGAATTTCAGAAAATAAACTTTCCTGCAAAACATGATCTTCTGACTTGTAAAGATTAGAAAAAAAAATCCACAGCCAGTTCCCCAATCTCTTCCTCTGACCTCACCCACAAACCAGCACCACTCTGAATTTTACATATTCTATTACTCACTGCCTTACCTTTTGCCGGTAAGTGATAAAAATGCGTATTTTTCTCTCCCTCCATGGCCCACTTTATATTTGCTTTTTGCTTCCAGAAAATTTCTTCTAATCTCAACTCCTCATCTAAATTTTCTGAGCACACTCCCAAGCTTGAACATTTAAAACAGAACTATCCTGCTCCATAAGAATTTCAGCCTGCAAGAGAGCCTCTTCTCTCCCCTTTATTCTCTCAAAAATATTACCAAATGTTTCTTTATTCCACTTCTTCAAATGAACCTTCAAGAACTTCAATTTCAGAAAAATATCTTCAATTGAATTAGTTGAATAACCCCCCCCCCCCCCCCCCCCCATTTCGAAGCAACCAAAGACAAAAAACCAGCATCCTCAACCAAAATGTCTTGAAATTTAAAGTACGAGATTCTAGGCTGCATATTTTCTTGAACTCTAGAAGAGGGCTATGATCAGACTTCCCTCTCCCTAAGTGAGACACCTCAGTCCTCCCAAATTTCAAACACCAAGAAGGATTAAACAAAATCCTATCAATTCTTTGCCACATCCTTGCTCGTCCCAATCTATTATTACACCATGTAAACTGACTCCCAGAAAAACCTACCTCCTGCAAACCAGAATCATGGATCCAATTCACAAATTCCTCCATAGAAGACTGTGAAGGATATGCTCCTCCTAACCTCTCTTTAGAAGCAATTATAGCATTAAAATCACCTCTTACCATCCAAGGAGAACTCCCACCTGCTACCAGGTCCAACAGGAGTTGCCACAAAGATCTTCTCAGCACATGATCACAAGCCGCATAAACAGCCGTAACAAACACCACATCAGACCCCAGATAAGACACACTAACTGTGTCATGCCCCGAATCTCCACAAATCTGGGAGTGAGCGAAAAGAAAGAATATAAGTAAATAAAATGTCATTAACTTAGATAAATTGGTTTTCATTCATTTCTCGCGTTTTTTCAAAATTTTTCAAGTCACTTTTCTTCCATTTTTAACTTATTTCTTCAAGATTTTTAAACCTCTCCTTTTGACATTAATAAAAATAATTTCCACAACTGTGGTAAATAAAACCAACAAAAGTGATAAATCGCCCATAAAAATAGTAATTTTTTAGTTGTACAATAATCTACAAAAATTATAAAAACACCTATTGAAATAGTAAATTTTAAACGTGCGATTTTTTTTTTTTTTACTCATGTCCTAACATACCTTCTTTCTGATTTCTAAAGGAAAATGCACTGGATAAGAAAAACTACTAGATCACTGTTTATTGGAGATGGATGTCATATATGTAACCCTTTTCTTATTACCTTTTTTTGTATACCATGAGATATACAAATTGTGCTTTCAATTTGCGTTATTTCAATCAAATTTGCTATGTGCTTTTAATTGAGAGAATTTGATTTAATTTTATGTTTAAATAAAATATTCCTAATTAAAAGCACATAACAAAATCATACTTATAAAAAAGCTTTAAGAAGTACTATTTTGTGAAAGAGAGAGTAATATTAATAGTCTAATTTCTTAACGAGTTTCAGGTAAGCTTTGGCTTCGCCCCTATATGGAGCGCCCCAGCTCCCAATTATTTGGGCGGCAGGCGTGGGTTAATTAGAAAGTGAAAGACAAATGTGGTGCCCCACTATTCCGATGAAGTCTAAGCATATCTTCTTCTTTTTTGGGGAAATCCAAGCATATCTTCTTCACTGTCTGATTGGTCATTGTCCACTGGACTGATTTCACGTATCACCAAACCATCCTTTGTAGTCCAACAATCCGGGTCATCGGCATCGGCATCGCTGACAAATGTGGTGTCCTTAAATGTTGACGTAGATTCAAACATATCTTCACTGTTTGATTGGTCATTCTTCTCTTCATGCTCATCATATACAAGATTGACTTCGAACTCTTTTATCACCAAACACTTCATTGAAATTAGAAGATTCAATTTATCGTCGGGTTCAAATCCATTAAGTTTCCAATGGCTTAACCACATGATATGTTCATTTGGATTTGGAACTCCAATCCATGCTGGCTCATAGGTCAACATATACTCGAACCCATTATAGACTTTAATTTTAATTAATAGCTCCTCGAGCGTTACCCCTTCTTTGGAGATCTCGTACACACAACGCATGTTCAACCCGTGAATCCTCCGATTTTGAACTGAAGGGACACTAACATATGCTGAGGACCATGCACGCGAATTGCTGGAGTAGCCCAAATCATTCCCCAGGAGAACAAATATGCTGATAATGCCATCTTGCGACAATACCTGCGCCATGAAAGTTACAATTTTAACCAGTTCAAACTATTACCTTCATGTGGTTTAACCCAGAGTACTTTGCTTCTCTATACTTTAAAAATCTGAAAATGCAACAGCTAAATTTTCCTAGTGTGGTTTATTCCTAAAAGAATTATAGAAATTGAAATATCTACTTAATGCATAGAAATGAAGATGGAAAAAGATTTAGTTTATTTTAGAGGGAGAAAAAAAAAAGAAGAAATAACATACACAAAAAAGGATATAAAGGCAATAGGTTACTGGGTCAAACTATACAAAGGTAATATATAATTTGCCGTTAATCATGATTCTTTTTTTATTTGGCCAGACTGTGAATCATTATTGGAAAGAAAACTATTGCATTAGCACCCAAGTTGCAGAGAGAGAGAGAGAGAGCACCTGGGTGGGGAGAACCTTAAGCGTTACCGCTGATTGACTGAAGAAGTTAACCTCGGTGCTTTCGATGGATTCTATATTGGACAATTCAAAGTTGTTAATAATTTCTGTGTCAGTGTTCAAAATGGGTTGTAACTTAAAATGACCTTGGACTTCTACTAGATTCTCACAATCCTGGACTTCGAAATATGCTATGGAGGCCGATGATGATGCATGTGTTATTTTTTCCAACGACGAACACATGTCAGTGTCCAACAGCCGCTTTATATGGGGTAGCCCCTCCAGGGTCTTCAGACTTGTACAAGAACATACATAGAACTTACTCAGACTGCCAAGACCTTTGACGCAATCTGGTAAGCTACAAATTGGATTTCTGCTTAGATCTATCACCTCCAACGAGGTTAGGCTACTGAAATCTTTTGGAAAATCACCGTCAGATAGATTGCATCCTGCAAGGCTTAGTCTTACTAATGAAGGTGGCAAAACAACCGAAAAAAACTTAGAGAGTTCTGGACGAGTTCTTTTTCTAGGTCTTCCAAACCACATCAATGGATGCCACCACCTATTCTCTTCAGTAGTAGAAGGTAAGAGGCTGAGGTCCATTTCATTAGCCTGAAATGTTTTAAGCGATTTTATCTCTTTTAGTTCCAATGGTAACTCTTCAAGATTTGAGCAACCAGAAATCTTTAATGTTTCAAGAGAGCTAAGCATGCCAATGTTTGTTGGAAGTTTCTCTAGACTTCTGCAATCTTTCATATTCAAGAGAACAAGTTTCCCAAGACTGCCAATTGATTCATGAACTTCAACCAAATTTACACAACCTTTTAGGATCAATCTCTCAAGACTTGGGAGCCTAGAAAACATTGGAGTTTTTTTAAGGCCATGACAATGTCGAAGGTCAAGAATTTTTAATGACCCAATACACTGAAAAAAATTGAGGAAGCTAACGTCAGAGACGGAAAAAAAAAATAGGAATCGCAAAAAATATAAATATACAAAAGTTAGAAACAAAGGGTAACGTGGATCAATCGCATACCTTGGCTCCCTTCCATAACTGTTCTAAGCTACTATTACTCATGTCAATGGCAACCAGATTATCCATAGGAAAATCATTTGGGAAAGATTTCAACGAAAATCTGTGCCAACACAGCCATCTTATGTTGTTTGGAAATTCTTTATAGCCTCCAGCAAGTCGTACATTGTTGATCTCTAGTAGTCTCAATTCATGCATACATCGGAATGCATTGGTTTCAAAGCTCCCATCGTACCGATTGTTGAAATTAGAAATTTCCATGGTATGCATATCTTCCGCAAGCATATTCATATTGAGAGCAAGTCCTCTGATTGTTTCAGTGCCCTAATAACAAAAACATTAAGGATAAGAGATAAGGAATAACAATATATGCAACGACACACACATAAACATACAAGAAATAATTTTCTTACAATTTTTTCTTTCAATACTTTGAAGGAATCCCTTTGATTCCACAGTCTACTACGCTTGCCAAGCTTCTCAGGTGACAACTGACGAATAATTTCTCTTCCCATACGCTGAATCAATGTATGCATCATCAACTTGTTACGTGTTATTTTTATGAGACATCTATCAATAAGAGTTTGAAGCTCACTTGGACCGAAATAACCACATCCATCTAGTATAGTAATAACGTAAGTCTTGTCCATTCCCACAAAAAAGCAAGCAATATCAAGGAAAGAATTTCTGTATTGATCATCAGGTAAATGTTCGTAGCTTATTTGAAGTTTCTGTTGGATTTCGCTATCGTGAATTACTTCGAATCTGTCTAATGTACTTCTCCATACATCCTCCTCCATGTTTCGTAGAGCAGCACCTAAAACTTCAAGGGCTAAAGGAAGCCCTCCGCACTGTTTCACTACCCTTTTGGAGTACTCCATGTAACCTTCAATGGGACGGTGTTGTTGAAATGCATGCCAACTAAGGAGTTCAAGTGATTCATTGTAATTCAGTATCTTAACATCCATAATCTCAACTTTATAAGACCTCAGCAATCGCATATTTGTGGTTGTAATGAGAATTTTACTTCCAGAATAAAAAAACTCGTGCATACTAAGAATTGCATCCAATTGCTCTTTTTCATCAACATCATCTAAAACGATTAGAACTTTACGACAATGTAGGGCATCTCTTATCTCAATGATCCCTTCACGCACACTGGTTATTTTTCTCATTTTTCTCTTTTGAATATCTGAAAGAAGTTTTCTTTGCAATTGAACCAAGCCGTCCCATTGTTTGGAGACTTTTTTAATATCTGCGAGAAAACTACTACCTTCAAATCTGTCAAAATTCAAATTATAAGCATATTGAGCAATGGTCGTTTTCCCTATTCCGCTAATCCCACATATTGCCATTATGCCCACATCAGTTGACTTCTTTTGCAACCACAAATTGATGTCTTTGACACGACTGTTGATTCCAGTTAGGTAGGATTCAACAAAAATATCACGATTCACTTTATCCTGAACAACTTCCACAATCTTTGTAATGAACTTTGACTCATACCTACAATTGGTTGCAATGATGTAACAACCGACTAGAATATGCATGCCAGTAAATATTAGTAAATGGCAATATCTTTTGCAAGCAGCAAACAAACCACAAAGATTATAGGTAATGAACAATGTGAGAAACCTGACAATATGTATAACAAAGAATGATAATGCGATTTGTAGTTTTATACCATCCACTTTGTTTTCTTGTGAAAAGTTTTTATTTGAGCACGTCAATTAGTGGCCAGGTTTCATATCTGCTATGTGCGAAACAAAGATGCATTGTTCAGGTTCCCACTTCTTGGGCCATAAGGTTTAATCTCAGGTTTCTGGCCAATTACTCTTCAAACCCAAATCAAATGCTACACTTTGTCAAGTTTGACTAGATTAGTAAGCAATTACAATTTTTATCAAGCTAGCCCCATATTTTTCATGTGGTTTTGATTATGGAAATGATCATATTCAGCATGCCAAAGACAATATAATATTCTAGAAGTTTTTAGGTAGTTTTGACAGAATTCACAACATGATCAATATATATAAAACAACACCATTATATGACGTATATATATACTTTTTATAAATTCCAAAAGGCAACGATGAAACCCGAAAGCTCACAAAAAACAAATTTCTTATTTATAGTATGTATCCCCCCAAGCATGTGCCAGTCTTGTCATTTTTAACAACTTATTTTGCTCATCAGAGAATATGAAATTAAAGCGAGGGTGCAGCCAAATAGGTGAGGCAATACAAACTGTTTTTCAATTGCTTCTCAAAATATCACAAAAAGTTTTCAAAACACTGATATGCTAGAAAAGGCTTTACAGTAATTACCCATCTGCTTCGTTTATTAAGACCTTCCCTCCCAGTTCTGCAACTTTTTGAAGTGCTTCCGTCCATTCTTTGACCTTCTTCATCCACTCCTTCTTCTTTTTTTCATCCTTTTCTTCCTCGATTCTCTTATGGTATCCATCAAATGCTTCTGCAAAACTTCCTGTTTGTTTTCTAACATGGGTTGGATCCACATCATAGAAGACAGGGAGAACAAAATGTGATGAGATCCGTCTACGATTGAGGATCATCACTAGCTCATCAAGGCACCATGTGGAAGAAGCATAGTCTTTGGAGAAGACAATTACTGAACTCCTTGACCGTTGGATTGCTTTTTTCAGTTCTGAACCAATAGGTTCTCCTCTTTCTGCGTGGTCTTCATCTCTGAACGTGCGAAAACCTGCATTCACTAAAGCTTTGTAAAGGTAATCGGCAAATCTCTTGCGAGTATCTTCACCTCTGAAACTCAAGAACACATGATATCCACATGGAGACGAAGAAGAGGAGGCTCCTTGGGCTCTAGATCTAGAAGCAGCCATATATATATAGAACAAAGTACTTCGTAGATATCAAACCACTTTCTTGCTGGAATCTCCCCCAGGAAGCTCACCGAATTCCTAGGTAGATAATATAAGCAAACAGCTCATGATCAGTAGGGTTATGGCTCGGGTGAAGAATTTCGCAAGCCTCTTGGATGTGAGACTCTGTCTCTCTCAGATCGAGTAACAAACTGGATGATCTCTTTCTACTCTTTTGCAGAAGTGTATGTGGTTGAGAAACTGGCATGTATGTAAGAGTGGTCCCATGCCAGAGCTTTTGACCCATGGGGTTTAAAAACAAAATTCTCAATTAATGATTGGTTTAAAAATAATTTTCAAACTTAATTTTTTTTAAAATTTTTTAAATGAATTGACGTTTTTAGCAAAAAAAAATAAAAAAAATTGTCAGTCCGCCTAATGTTTTTAACATTTTTGACTCACCACGGAGGCTCTAATAAACGTTAATCACTTTTCTCTAAACGCATCAATTCAACTGACGTGTTTACGAGTCAAATTCTTTTAACACCTCCGCCGACTTTGTTGACTTTATTGAGATTGGAGGACATCACTCCACCTTACATAGACATCACTTTACCTAATTTGAATAATTATTATAAGTGACTCATAAATTTTTTTTCAAATTTTAATGTAATTCATAAAATTTTAATTCTTTTAATTTAATTCATCAATTATCAAATTTATTTCAATTAAATTTTTCTATTAATTTTCATCGTCAGATCAACTTGAGATTAGTCCAATTTAAAATTGATAATTAAAGGACTAAAATAAGACAAATGAAAATTCATGAATTAAATTAAAATTAGAGGTAAAATTTTTGACTAACTATGAAATTTACCCTATTTTTTTATAAAATATTATAAATGCATCAAACAAATATAATGTTTAATCAATTTTAATTCCTAAATATGTTACTAAAAGAATTTAAAATAGTTCACGTCACATCAAAGCAAGTTTTAAACCACGTTTGATTTTAAAATTTTATTAGCACACAACCAAAATCAAGTTTTCAAATTTCGAAGTCTTTGGTCGCCCACATAAATATTTGATATTTCCTTTCGAATAAACTAATGGCTTCAACTTACATATATAAAAAAAAAAGACTTAACAAAATTAATAATACTACGTGTTTTTTAGGCTAACATACTCCTATTATATTATGGACGGACTTTAATAGGTGTTTTTAAGGCTGTTAAACAAGTCAAGCTTGAATATTTTTTAAAACTTGTTTATGTGTAAATAATCAAACAAGTCTGCTTGTTTATGTGTAAATTCAGCTCAAATTCAACTCGATTAACACCTCTAGGTGTCCGCCGATTTGAAAGTCTCTAATCTTGTTACTAAAGGATATTGAATCATATGTATTGTGCCACAATTCTAGTATTAAATATGACCAATACACCTACAATGCATACAAAACTAGTTTCTATAGGAAACTGAGCTTTACCAAATCAAATAGTTGTTATACCAAAAACCCAACTTCCATTAATTGTTGGGTACATTTGCTAATACTCGAAACTATCAAGTATGAACTAAACCTCTTTTATATGCCGGGGGTTAAAATATAATTTCATAAAATAATCAAAATCTTCACCTACCACTGCACCGTTGATATTTTTCAAAGGCATGATGATTACACCTCCTCTGAACGGGATTTGATTACCGTATGAAAAAAATAATTTTGTTTATCAGTTTAATGGGTGTTTTTATAATTTTGTCGGTTATTTGATAATTAAAAATTTTATTATTTTTGTGAACATTTTTACCAATATTATGAGTGATTTTATAACATTTGTAAGTATTTTTATCATATTTACGAATATTTTTGTCACTATTGTGATAACTAATTTTATTATTTTTTAAGATACTACAACACAAATTTTTTTTTTCTCGTACCGTAGTAAAATCGGAACAAACTCAATTTTCTTCTTCTTTTAGCTTTACTCTTGTCTAATTTGCATTGCCATGTTTTCTCACCTACCGACTACTCCAGTTTTCTTCTTGCCAAGACTTAGACTTCTTTTACTTTGCTTTAACTCTCATTATTTGAATTTTAAAATTGGGTTAATCTCATTTTATACCCCGAAAAATTGTTTGAATCTCAATTTACACCCTCAAAGATCAAAAATCTCAATTTATACCCTCAAAGATAGAAATTTGTATTAATGTGCACCCCCATAGATCAAAAATCTCAATTTACACCCTCAAAAATATAAATTTATATCAATGTTTACCCCAAAGATAAAAAATCTCAATTTGCACCCTCAAAGATAGAAATTTGTATCAATGTGCACCTAAAATTAAATTGATAAATTATACCTAAATCCCCTCATATTTGTCAGTTAATCATTTCGACCTCTTCACATTTAGAATATTACTCCTACATCTTATCACATTTGTGCACGTATAACACGTAACTCATTTTCATTGATATCTATTAATATAACCGTTAAAAAATATAATTTTTTTCTAATAAAAAATTATAATTTCATATTATCCTTTATTTTATAGGTTCAATATACTATAAAATTCAAAATCTAGTTTACCATTTGAATGTCTAATAAAATATAAATATTTATATAATATTTTTCATATTACCTTTTATATAAATATCTACATTTTATTAGACATTCAAATGGTAAGCTTGATTTTTAACTTTAGAGTATATCGAATCCACAAAATAAAATGTAATATAGGATAGAATCATATTTTTTAACGAATATTAATATATATCAACGAAAAGTAGTTATGTATTACACATGCATAAACGTCATGAGATGTAAGGAGAATATTCTAAATGTGAAAGAGTTCAAATGATTAAGTGACAAACATGAGGGGATCAAAGTATAATTTATTAATTTAATTTTAGGTGCACATTGATACAAATTTCTATCTTTGAAGGTGCAAATTGAGATTTTTTATCTTTAGGGATGCACATTGATACAAATTTCTATCTTTAAGGGTGCAAATTGAGATTTTTGATCTTTGACGGTGCACATTGATACAAAATTCTATCTTTGAGGGTATAAATTGAGATTTTTGATTTTTGAGAGTGTAAATTAAGATTCGAACAATCTTTCGGGGTGTAAAATGAGATTAACCCTTTAAAATTTAATCTAATTTATTAATTTAATAAAATTCACGGTTAATACAAATATTACATTAAGTCCGATAGCATTAACCCTCTCCTTTTGCTCTCAACTTGGTCGGCTTGTGCTTTGTCTTCTTTTCTTTCATTCTTCTGGTACTGATCTTACTTTATGAAAAGTGGCATTTACATGACTTTTATGGTACCAAAACTCACTATACTCAACTCAAATAGATAAATACTTTACAATAATCAATAAAAATATTTTAACATTAAGAAAAAATTCACCTTATTTGGGGGAGTGAATCAACCAAACAAAGAGTAAAGACATTTCAACACAATATAATAAAAAAATCTCAAATTTATATCCCAAATATGCATCCCAAATGAATAAGGATGGTTGGATCAGTGGGTCCTAATTAAAAAAATTGATAAGACTCACGGATCCAATGATTCTCATTTATTTGAAATGCATATATTAAAATACAAATTTGAGATATATAATATTTTCTAAAAATAAAACGAACACAGAAAGCAGAAGAAAGAGAAGGGATACTTGGACAGTGGGTTATTCGGTGGTGGCTTTGGTGTCACTTCAGTTTCTGGGTCCCACGTGGTAAAGATTCAAATCTGAATAGGAAAAAAATATAATTCTACAAATATACCGAACTGAGTAATGTAATAGAAATCGATAAAAAAATAAATTATGGAAATAAATTTTAAACTCTTAACTATAATATTAGATATATTAGTTAATGTCGGTGTCTAAAAAAAATATAAAAAAATTAAAAATAATAAAAAATGAGCATTAGAATTAGAAAAGTGGCACACATAATTCATTAAAGTGAACGAATAAGTTTATGAACCTCATAAACTCCAAAAAAAAAAAATGGGTGTAATTTATTTTAAAGAAAGGACTTCAAAAATAAAGAAAATAAAAATTAACACGATGACCATGGTTGGGCGATGAGACAATAGCGACCTGATCAGGTGCCTAGTGGGTACCTCCTCCATAGGAAGTGTTCACTTATATGGTAGGGGGGAAGACGACTCTCTTCCGATGTGGGATTGCCTTAGGAAAAGATCCTATTGGCGAAGAGAGGTAAAGGCTACTGGAGCTCGGTACCACCAAGTCAGCCGGAATCCTTAAGTGGAGGAATAAGATCCGTAGCGATTTCTACCCCTTACAATTTATATTTCCTTTGTAAAGATAACAAGGTTACCCATGAATCCATCTCTCAACAGGTAGGAACCGTGCATTTGGATTTCTACAATTTGTTTGTTAATGTCACATTGTGATATCACAATGTGTCAAGCATAGTATTTAATCCTAGTGTATGAATTGGGAAATGTAACTGCACATTTATCTATCATAATGTAACAAATAAATTATTGTTCATTGCATTGTTACACTTTGATATAACATTGTCATTCCTTAAAAAGACTATGTTTTGTAACATAAGACGAAAGATTTTTTTATCCTCGCCATTTTCGATTGTTTGTGTTTTTTATTTGGTTGAAATTTCATGAATTTTATAACATTTTTTTGTGGTAGATTTTGTTTAAATTTTAAAACCTATGTTTTTAGTAATATATTAGTTGCCAGATTTAATGTGATTGGTGCATGACTTCTGGTTGTTTCCAAATGAAGATTAGTTGCCCATATTTTATCGAATTTAATGGGATTAGATGCCCTTGTTTTTTGTGATATATTAATTTCCAGTTAGTATTACATAGTGGGTATTTTTGTTATTCAAAAAAATAAGGGACTTATGTACAATTTTGTTTTTTACTAAGTATTTTTATACAATTAAGTGCTATATTGAATACTGGCCTTCAATAAAACAATCGATTAAAACCAAGAAGCAAGAACATGTTTTGAGCTGAGCCACGGGCCGTCAACACAGTCATGGCTGGGCTGTGACCCAAGTGAGGGACACAATAAAGATTAGGCCAACTAGCCCTTAAATGGGCC